TATTTAAACACATTTTAAAATATAAAAAAAACTGTTAAATATTRTATAATAAATTATAAATGCAAATGTTTAGGTTGTATAATATAAAATAACTTTTTTAAATATATATATATATATATAATAAAATATATTATTATTATKATTATTRGCATATTTGCTAAACAGTGTTATCAATAATAATAATAAAATTTTATTGTTGTTTTGTTGTTGTTGTTATKGGTATTATTGACAAATAACTTATAAAATTTCAATAATATATTTTTTATGATATCTGAGAAACCGGAAAAAATCGTATAACTATTAATATAAATAAATAAATTATATTATATGTAAAATATTATTTTTTTTGATATTATATACTATACTGTATTATTATAATATTAAATATAATAATAATAATAATAATAATATACTGCAAAATAATATTATTTTTGTTGTTTTTTTTGGCTAAATAACAATTATATGTTATATATATATATATATTAATATATATATAATTTTTTCATAATAAATATATACAATTAAAATATATAGTTTTAATTATATTATTGCCAGACATGTATTATTATTATTTGTTAATTATATAAAATCTTTAAAAATTATTATTATTTTGTTTTTTTTATTTTTGTCGTCAAATATATATATATATATATATATATATATATATATATATATATATATATATATATATATATATATATATATATATATTATGTATATAATTATTAATAATTATTATTATGGAAAAAAATATTTAAAAAAACTAAAAACTAAAAGTTTTTAGTTTTTAGTAATAATAATTTTGCCCTCATATACAGTCAATGCTAACTATAATTTGAATAGAGAGGACTGGGATGTAAATTATTATTATTATTATTTTAAAGGTAGACTACATTACCTATTAGTGYTGACCTACTAGTGCTGGTATTAATTTTTTRTGTTATAAATYAATAATACCAGTGCAACAATAATAATAATAATAATAAATTTAATAGTTTTTCAATATATTTTTTACGATTGTATTGAATGATTTTTAAATAATTATAATATATTTAAATAAATATTGATTTTTATAAAAAAAATAAATAAATAATTACATGTATGTATATTATTGTATATTTATTGAAAAGTGAAATTAATTTAAATATTTTTTATATATAATATAATTAATTGTAATTATTTATTGTGTGTGTGTCTATGTGTAATAAAAATCAAAAAATTAACAAAACAAACAAAAATAATTTCAATTCAAATAAATTATCGTAAAATCTTAATTGATTTTTTTTAATCAATTAGTTCATTCAAATTAATTTTTTTCAAAAAATAAGTGATTAATTTTTTTTTATCTATAATATAGTAATAATAATAAAATAACTAATACATTGTTATAATAGATATATAAAATAATATAATTAATGTTTTAAGTTTAAATATTTTTTGAATAATTAGTTTAAAAATTTTTGTGGTGTTATTAAAAATTATTTTCAATATTAATAATATGTATTATTTTAATTAGTATTTTGCACACAAATACACAACCAATTTATAATAATTTTGTTTTATTTATATATTTTTAATAATAATACAGTAAAAATAATTCTCAAGTTTTATTTAGATATATTAAGTGTTTATAATTTAAATATATATATATATAKTAAACATTATGTAAATATATATATATAATTTAATAATAGAAAATAAGACCATATTAAACAATAATAAAATTATTTAATAATAATAATAAATTGATAATCAAATACGTGATATTTATTTATATACATACATATATAATATATATATATATATATATATATATATATATATATATATATATATATATATATATATATATATATATATACTGTATATATGCTGTATTTAGGACATAGAGATTATGCTGTATATAAATATACAGTATATACTGTATATACTGGTACTTAACAATACTTTTAATGTAAATCCATTGTTTAATCCGTTATCCATAAGTGGAAAGGTATGTATCGGATATAGCATTTACAGCAACTACCTGTGCCTACAATTACAATATACTTAATATATAATATGTTATTCAATACATGTATTATATAACATGCAAATCATAWCATAAAAATATTTATTTATTTATTTTTTTGTGTTTATTTATTTTGATGTGTGAGAAAAATCCTATAATAAAATTGTTGAAAATAAACTAAAATAATAATAATAAATATTATWTATATATATAAATATCCATCAAATGATTCATTATATTGTATTTTATTTTATATTATTAATGTATACAATAAGTCGTTGACTTTTTATTATTTATTGTTTTTTAATATTTASTATTAAATAATATTTTTTTAAAATTTTTTTTAATCAATCATATTATAAACTACTTAAATTTTCATTATTAATATATTATTAATTGTTTTTTTTTAATTTTTTTGCCAATTGATTATTTATTATAAAGTTATTATAAGCATCATCAACAACAACAATAAATTTAAAAAAAAAATATTTTTAATTTATCACGATTTATTTTTTTTACATGAAAAAAACAACAATAATTTTCATATATTTATATATTATTTATTAATAAAATAAAATTTAAAAAAAAAATTAAAGACTATAAATAGTTTATTTTTACTATATATATATATATATATATATTTAAAATTTTATTAATTTTATTAATATTTTATATATATATATATTATGATGATGATAATAATTGTTAATTAATTTATTTTTTTTAAATAATTTATTTTTTAGCTGCAAAATTTATCATCGTTGTTTATTGCATCATAAAGCTGGCGGATCTAAAGTATGRAAAATTAATTTTAATTATAATTAATTAATTAATTACAAAWTAAWWATTAAAAACTTGAATATTATATTTATATAATTTTTTTTTAATTTTTTAATAATTTTTTTWAAAAAATTTATCTAGCATCAATTACATGAAACATTTGTTTGCGGCAATAAAACTGTATTTGATCAATCATCATTGGTTTGCAAGTAAGTTTATCAGGGTAATATTATTATTATTATTATTATAATGATAAAATTGTAAAATTATATCATGTATTGTATATATACAGTATATTACTGTAAAATATAATTTATATATTTAACAAAAAAAAAACAATAATAAATGTTTGTTATATCAATAATTAATGTTTTTGAAACAAAAATTTTAATATAAATGATAGTTTAATTGATATGACATTAATTATCTATTTTTTTTATTTTAATTATTTATTTATTTTTTGTTGAAAACTAATTATATGTTAAGTTTTTTATATATSTATGTTAATGTCTATGAGATATATAGTAATGTTATGATATAATAATTAATGTATTGTTTATTTATTTTTATTTTTAAATACTGGTTAGTTTTAACAAGTGGTTAATATAATATTTAAAAATATATATATATTTAGTTAATTGAAACACAAAATTAAAAAAAAACAATATTTACATGTAAAATTAACTAGATTAATTATGATTATATCTATATATAATTGTTTAATAGTTAGCTAAATAGTAATTTTATTTTTTAATAAATAAAAATATATATATATATTTAAGTGGTTTATAAAAAAACTTTTAAATCTTAATTAAATAGCTATTAAGTATAATTATTACTTTWTTTKTTTRTTATTTTTAAAATAAAAAATAAATTTAAATATATATTACTATTTGAATRAGATTTTAATTTATATATGATAATAGTTTTTTTAATKCAATTTTTATTCATTTAAATTTAATTTAAAAAAATAAATAAAATAATAATGTAACTAGTTTACTTATTTAATTAATCAACAACAAAAAATTATAAACAGTCAATAAAATAATTTTCAAAATGCAAAAATATATATAAATAATTATATTTATAAAAAAATATGCTAGCTAAATAAAATATAATTAAAAATAATACAATAATTAAACCAATCTAAAACTAGTTATTTAATTTTATTTAATTTTTTTGAAAACAAAATATGCTAGCTAAATAAAAAAAAATCAATAATTAATACAATAATTAAACACCCATCTAAAATTTAAAAAATCTAAAAAAACAAAATATGCTAGCTAAATAAATATTTTTTAATAATACAATAATTAAACCAATCTAAAACTATTTATTTAATTTTATTTAATTTTATTTCTAAAAAAATAACTAATAAAATACTATCATGCTTATATATTTATTTTTTAMTTGTGCCMCCCCCCTTTTAACACCCCCACCCCACCCCTCCTTAAAATAATTGACAGACACGATGACGATGCCATACCGTGTGATGCGTCGGAAATGTTTTACTATCTAAATGAACGTATAGGCGATATGAAYGCCCAGTTTCTGGGACCGGCCGATATCGATCGGGCCAGAGCTGCCCGACCCGATTTCAGGGCCCGAGGCCGGGCACGGGCAGCCMGGGCCAGGGCTGCCAGGGCTAGGGCTGCCGCTGCTTAGAGCTTTTATTGTATGTTTAGATTTTTAATATAATATAAATAATTAATTTGATAATTAATTGTATTATAATGTATTTTTGTATTATACATATAAAAAAATATTTTAATTAAAAAAATAAATGTCAATATATAGATAATTATATTAGATTTATGTTTATTATTATTATTATTATAAATTTAAATGTTATTACGAATTATATTTATTTTAAAAAATATTAATTAATTAAAATCAATTGTAATAAAATGTTTATTTTTGAATGTATTTAATATTTTATGTTTTTTTATAACAAAAATTAAAGTTTAAAGTTGTTATTTAATATAAAAAATTATTTTTCTAAAAAATAKCAACAACAAAAAAATAATAAGTTTTTATTGAATTATAAACTAAAATATTAATAATATTAATTAAATACAATTGTTTTTTTTTAAACCACACAAAAATATTTTAATTAATTAATTAATTAATATCAATATTCAGAAAAATACAAAAAAATAATTAAAATATTTATTAAATTAAAATATTTTTTTTTTGAAAAAAAACCCAAACAAACAAAAAATACAAAAAAAAACAAAACTTTTTTTTTCAATCAATTAAAATCAAATATCATTACAATTAATAATAATTAAAAAAAAATCCTTAAATCACTTAAATCCTAATCAAACGTGAAATACTATAAATAGGTCCACCATTTCCGGGGCCATTGTCTACATTGTCTGGTTGTCCAGCACTGGGAGGTTGTCCACAGCACYAGCACCGGGACTATCATCAGTCGGTGACGACGGTCTAAACGAATCTTTCATCAACTCTTTGAAATCAAATAACCGATTATTGTTGAGTACTGTCTGAAAATGTTGACAACCGGCCAGCACTTGATCCATAGCCGACCGATCGGTACTATCGTCGGGTGTTGARTCCTTAGTTTGGTAAACATTTTGCCGAACCGATCCATTTCCAAGGTTATCATATCTTGCATTAGTTGACGCAAACGCTGTGGTTTCGACCACTGGGCCAGCGGGTCGACACCGCCGGGCGGTACTAATGGTATAATGTATTCCCGGCGAAACGGGTAGGTTGTCGATGGCCTGGGTATAGTGAATGATGGTTGCGGRTAAATACGGCGTGTTATGGTTGTAGTAGGATAGGGTGACAGCGGCGGTTGGCCACCCGATGGTGGTCGACCAAACGGTGTTACCGGCAAAGTTGATGGCCTAATCGGTATACAACCGGGCGGATAGACGGGTACTTTCTGTATGATTACGGTTACCGGCGGTTTCGGGCTGCTTGAGGCACCGGGAGGTTGTTGATCACTATCGGGTTGTTCGGTACTGTTATCGTCCGGATGTTCCTCCCGTTCCATATCGTCGTCGTCACCGTTGGTGTCATTGTCGTCATCCGGTTTTGGTTTAGCGGACGGTTTTTTCTTCGGTTTCGGTTTTTTGTCCGCTTTTCGCGGTTTAGGTTTGGGTTTTGGATTTTCTTCGTCATTGTCGTCATCCGGTTGTTCTTCTTCTGGTTTGTCCGGCTCTTCATTSTCTTCGTCGTTGTTGCCATCGTTGCCATCGTCTTCTTGTGGCTGTTTAGTAGGCTTTTTCTTCKGYGACTTTCGYTGCGGTTGTTTTGATGGTTTCTTTGGCGGCTTTTCCTCATCGTCTGGCTTACCATCTTCTGGTTGTTCCGGTTCTTCATCTGCTGCTTCTTCTTCGTCATCAGGYTTTTCRTTATCATCCGGTTGTTTKGGTTTAGGCTTTGGTTTAGGTTTCTGTTGTTTTGGTTTAGGTTTTTGTTGTTTTGGTTTTGGTTTCTGTTGTTTAGGCGGCTGTTGGTCAGTGTCATCATCACCAGTGTCTGGTTGTTCCTCATTATCATCAGGTTTTTCAGGTTCTTCATCATCTTCTTCAGGTTCTTTRGGCTGGCGTTTAGGTTTAGGTTTTGGTTTTTGCGGTTTGTTTTTTGGCGGTTGTTTAGGYTGTCCATCGGTTTGGTCGTCYTTTTCATCRTCATCTGTTGGCTGATCCTTATCTTCTTCCGGTTCTTCGCTATTGTCATTATCTGGCGGTTGTTTRTTATAGTCGTTTGGTTGCGGTTTCTTCGGTTTATTCTTGTTTTTCGGCGGTTTATTKGCCGATGGTTTTGGTGGCTGCTTATTGTCGTCGTCGTCATCAYCGTCCACCATCATCATCATCGGCATCATCTGGTTTAGGTTCTTCAGGCTGTCCAGGCTTTGGCTTATTATTATTATTATTAGGCTTTCCCTTTGGTTTCTGTTGTTTAGGTGGTTTCGGTTCATCTTCTTTGGGCTCTTTTTCTTCTTCTTCTTCATCGTCTGGTTTGTTGTCGTTGTTGTTATCATTGTCTGGTTTGTTGTTGTCATCACTATCTGATGGCTGTTTTGGTTGTTGTTTAGGTTTTTTCGGTGACTTTTTTGTTGGTTGTTTCGGTGGGGGTTTACTATTGTTGTCGTCATCGCTATCGTCTTCTGGCTGTTCTTCATCTTCATCTGAATTKGGCTTTGGTTTWGGTTTAGGTTTGGGTTTTTGTTGTTTAGGTTTAGGCTGTTGTTGTTGTTTATCTGGWTCTTCTTCTTTTGGTTCTTCAGGACTGCTGYTGTTGTTGTCGTCGTCTTCTTTGGRTTTTTTTTGGCGRCGATTTCTTAGGTTTCTGTGGCTTATTATTGTCGCCGCTATCTTCAGGATCTTCAGGATCTTCAGGATCTTCAGCATCAGGTTTGCCACTGTCGTCGTCGKTGTCGTCATCTGATGGCGATTKMGGTTTAGGTTTTTGTTTCGGTTTTTGTTTCGGTTGWGGTTTGGCATCAGGTTCTGGAGTTGACGGCTGTTGCTGTTGTTCATCATCGGTAGGCCAGTCTTCCTCTGGTTTGTTGCTATCATCTTCTGGTTTATTGTTGTTATCATCTTCTGGTTTGTTGTCGTCATCTTYTGGTTTATTGTTTGTCATCGCTTGGTTTTGGCTTAGGTTTGGCTTTCGGTTTCGGTTTAGTCTGCGATCGAGGATTCAGTTTTGGTTTAGGTTTCGGTTTTGGCGACGACGACGGCTCATCTTCTTCTGGTTTATCGTCATCTTCTGGTTTGTTGTCGTCATCTTCTGGCTTATTGTCGTCATCTTCTGGCTTATTGTCGTCATCTTCTGGTTTATTGTCATCATTTTTAGCTGGTTTTCCTGGTTTTGGCGATGATTTGGGCTTACTTTTAGGTTTAGGTGTCGACGACTCGTCCTTATCCTTGTCCTCCTCATCCTCTTTGTCGTCGTCAGTATTCTTCTTCTTCGGTGACTTCGGTTGTTTAGGTTTCGGTTTCTTCTTGTCCTTCGGTGACTCCGGTTTTTGTGGTCGCGGTTTTGCCGGCTGTTCTAACTCGGGCTCAGGTGTCTCCTGGTTATCGTCCGGCCAGTCCTCCTCACTGTTGTCGTTGTCGCTCTCATTACTAATAGGACTGTCCTCATCATTAGTAGGACTGTCCTCATCATCATTAGTAGGCTTTCCATCATCTGGTTGTTCATCCGGTTGTTTATTGTTGTCGTCGTTATCATCTGGCGATGGCCTATCAGTAGGCCTGTCCTCTGCATCATCTCCGGGTTCAGGAGTCGACTGGTCTTTCATTTTATTATTTTTATTTGGTTTACTGGGCGTCGACTTAGGTTTGGATTTAGGTTTCGGTTTAGGAAACGGCGAACTATTGTCACATTTGTTAGATTTGTCCTCTGGTTTGTCATCTTTTTTATCATTATCTCCCTGTCCTTCATCATCATTATCCTTATCATCATCGCTATAGTCGACACGGGAACGGGATCTTTGAGGTGCACCTAAACAATGAAATAAAAAATGATTTTTAATTATTTTAAACTAAAAAAATATTTTAAATAAAATATTTATTTAAAAAAATAATAATTAACTAATAATTGTATTTTTTATATTATTTTAAACTAAATAAATATTTTAAGAAAACAAATATTTTTTAAAAAAATAATTAATAATTTTCTAAAATATGAATAAAAATTGTATTTTTATATTATTTAGTTAATTATAATTAATTAATTATTAGATTTTTTTGTACARTATAATTGATAATTTATAGTACAGTATATTTAGTTAAAATTAAATAAAATTATTAATCAATGATTATATAATTACATATATTTTTTAGTTAAATTTTTAAAAAATATTAATTATAAATATATTTATAAATGACATATAATATAATTGATTGATTTAATTATAAATAATAATAATTATAATAACTTACATAATATGTAGACAAATAGCGTTACAAATATTAATAAAATTGTTATCCACTTCATTATTATTATTATAAATTATTATATAACTTATAATTTCATTGATTTAGTTTAAAAAAAAATAATTTTTTTTAAATAACAATAATATAACAATTATTTCTACATTTACTTTCACTTTGTTATATTAAATAATAATAATAGTTGAAAAAAATATTTAATTTTTTTGACTATAATTTTTTAAATCATTTAATAATAAGTTGAGATTTAAATGATGAGATCTATTGATAATACTATTAAAATTTTAAAAATTACTGGAAATTTATTATTTTTTTATTAAAGGATAACTTTTGAAATCATTATCATTATTATCATTAGTATTATTAGTCAATAAATACTTTATGATATTATATATATATATATATAATAAAAATGTTTTATTTTTTTGGATAAATAATTTTTGTGTGTTTTGAAAGTAACAATTATTTTTCAGCCAATAATAATAAACAGCGCATAATATATATATATATATATATATATATATAATATATTAAATGAAAGTTTATTTTTAATGTGTTTTTTGTTTTGTTTTTTATATAAAAGATTTTATTTAATTTTAGTTTTTGTTGGTTACTTGATATACAATATTATTATTATTAGTAATTTAATTAATGGATGATATGATGATGTTTTTTGCTAATAATAATAATAATAATAATATTTTTTCTAATGATTTTAATGATAAGTAATGATATAAGCAATTATTATTGGAAATATATTTTTTTTAGTAATAATATATTTACTGTATATATATTTAATGTATAGTATATATACACCTGTTATTGGGCACTGGTATTACCACTGTTATTAAAAACAATAGCACAATGGGACAGGTAGACAATGAGGTAATCCCCCTTAATTTTATTAGAAAATTAAATTATTAATCATATATACAGTATATTTATGTGCAATACTTATAAAAATTTTTATGGGGAAAATAAAATATTTATTATTACTAATTTTTTACGAAAAAAAACAAATTGATTACACATTTTATTTATAGGTTTTTAGACACCAACAAAAAATAAAATGATAAATTAGATTAATTATTAATATTTATTTTTTGTTTATAAATATTTATTAATAATTTATTTGTTATTTTTTTGTTGAGAAATATTATTTGATTTTTAGTTTTTATTAGAAAAATTATTTATCTATTTATCTATTTTATGCTAAATAATAATAATAATAATAATAATAATAATAATAATAATAATAATAATAATAATAATAATAATAATAATAATAATAAAGGAGGCACAGTGGTGTAGTGGTTAGTGTGTAGGGCTATGTAGTGTAATGGAGAGTAAGATCTATAGTTCGAGCCCCGATGTGGTAAAGCAATTTTTCTGAGAAAAAAAATTGTTTTAACTGTGCTTCCCGTCCCTGCCCAACCAACGCTGTTTAGGACGGCCAACTTAAGTAGTATGGGGAAAGCGGGGTGCTAAGTGAGGACGAGTTTCTGCCCGACCCCGGGTATCGGTACTTCGGTATCGGTACCCATATACCCGCAATGCCCCCACCCGGGGGTGCCAGTAAAAAGGTGCCCCCACCCCGAAGAGACGTCCGCAAGGATGTCTCTTCACCCTTCGAGTAGTTACTCGTCCTCACACGCAATGGCCACTTTTGTTTCAAAAAATAAAAAATCCTATTTCAACAAACACATGTTAGTGGTGAGAAATGGGTGGCAATAGACACATGTTAGTGTTGAGCTTATTCTAGGGACTGGGACCCCGTAAAAAGGCCAAAAACAAATATATATATAATTATGATTACACGTAGTCGAAGGAATAACGGGGGGTGTTCGGGAGGTACCCTCTCAAATAAATCCCGCGTTCAGCAGGTAGGCATTGACTGCAGTTCGTTAAGTATGCATCATATCCCACGCAGTGATGTGCTATGCGGGCAAAGCTGTGATGTAATGCGACCGCAGACTAGTCAACAAAATCAGACTAACCTCCAAAATGTTTCAGTTCAAGCTGGTTCTCAGCGACAACTGACCAATTTGGTTGAAAAATCGCAAAAGCGCATGAAATGGACACATGAGATGAATACCTTGATAATGCGCGAATACTACAGATCAACTCGACTCGAAACAAATATGACTGATTACAGAAACCAAATTTACTTAGCATTCAAACAGAAATATCCAGAACTAAATGTAACGGAACAAAGGATTGCAGACCAGCGGCGATTCTTAGCAAAGAATAATAAAATATCCCCAATAGAATTACAAGAAATCAAACAGCAAGTGGCACATGAACTATCATTAAATGAAACAACTGAATTAAATACCACAGTAGAAGTAGTGCCAGAAATGGAAGAGACACCTACAACAACAGATAACAGAATCAATACAAATGATGAAATAAATAGAATAACAGCAGAAAATGAACTAAAAACTTCTTTAGAACAATATAAAGACTTTGAAATAGAACTCAGACCTAAGTTACCAAAAATAAAAAGTGGCGTAAAAACAAGATCTACAATAATAACAATTAATGATATACTTAAAGATTACATCGAAGATAACATGTCGTTGAGCACAATTAATACAATAACATACTGTGCAGCAGTAGCAGTATCGAGACTCTTAGGCTACAAAATACAACACATGTCAACTACAAAACTAAATCAAGAAAATATAATACCTAAATGGCAAAAGCGAATAGAGACACGTATAGAAGGGAAAAGACAAGTAATAGGAAGAATAACGCAAGTGTTAAATGGAAACAAATCAAAAAGACTTAACCAATCATTAAAAGATATATACCGATTATTACAGACAAAACCTGGAAAACCTGAATTTGAAGCTATTATCCGGAATTACAACGACACATTAAAACAAACAGTTCAAGCACTATCACAAAGAATCAGAAGATATAAACAACAAAGCGAAAGACGAAAGCAAAATACAATGTTCTATAATAACGAAAAAATGTTCTATAGAAATCAAAACAAAATAAATTCAAGCAATATTAACCATACACCACAAATAGATGAAATAGAAAACTACTGGAAAGAAATCTGGAGCAACCCAAAGGAATATAAAGAATCTAATTGGATAAATGATATTGAAGATGAAAATAAAGAAATACCACCTATGACTTCAGTAAATATAATTAAAGATGACTTAACCGAAGCCCTCAAGAAATCCCACAATTGGAAAAGCCCAGGACAAGACAAAATACAAAACTTCTGGTACAAACACTTTACAACAGTACATCAACCAATGGCAATAGCAATGGATAAAATAATAAAAACAGGACAAACCGATGACTTCCTCACTTCCGGAATAACATATCTACTCCCAAAAACAGAAAATACATCAGATCCCAGCAAATATAGACCCATCACTTGCCTAACAACAATGTATAAAATCCTAACATCCATAATATCAACAAAAATATATAATCATTTAAGTAACAACAACATAATAGCTGAAGAACAAAAAGGCTGTATAAAACACTCAATGGGCTGTAAAGAGCAATTAACAATAGACAATATTATAACAATAAGAGCTCGTCAAAAACATAGAAATCTTGAAATGGCATACATAGACTATAAGAAAGCATTCGATTCAGTCCCACATAAATGGTTATTAAGAGTGTTAAAACTATATAAAATTGACAACACACTGATAAACACATTAGAAAATATGATGAAAAAATGGAAAACTAAATTGTGTGTCAATACTAATAATGAAACAAAAATAAGTACAGAAATCAAAATAAATAGAGGAATATTTCAAGGAGATTCACTCAGTCCTCTGTGGTTCTGCTTAGCCATAAACCCACTGTCATCACTACTTAAAAAGCTAAAAGGCGTAAATCTAAAATCAAGTGATACAAAATATAATCTAACACATCTACTATATATGGACGACTTAAAACTATACGCCGAAAAAGAATCTGATTTAAATGCAATGTTAAAAACAACAGAAACTTTCTCCAATGATATAAATATGGAATTTGGATTAGATAAATGTGCTATAATGAAACTGAAAAGAGGAGTCTATTCTGAAAGAAATCAATACGAAACTGAAAATGGATATATAAAGGCACTAGAAAATGGAGATATATATAAGTACTTAGGAATTAAGCAAATGCATAAATCTAAAATGACAGAAGTTAAAGAAGAAATAAAGAAAACATTAAACCAAAGAATAATAAAAATACTAAAATCTCAACTAAACTCAAACAACAAATTCAAAGCAATAAACACTTGGGCTATACCTGTACTGACATACTCGTTCGGAATAATAAAATGGAGTAAAACAGAACTTGAGACAATTGAAAGACATATAAGGCGACAACTTACAATGTTTGGACTACACCACCCTAGAAGTTCTGTAGCACGACTATGTGTTAGTAGAAAACATGGGGGTAGAGGGTTACTAAACATTGTAAGCCTTGAAGCCAAACAGCGAGAATTGCTGAGAAAATACCATCAACAAAAATGCAATGTCTCAGAGCTCCACAAAATAACATCAACACTCGATTACAACTACACACCTCTAAATCTCAGCAATAATGAACATCAAATAGAAATACAAAATGAAAAAGAGAGGATTAACACATGGGCCTCAAAAGAACTTCACGGAAGATACCGGGCAGAACTCAACCAAACACACGTAGACGAAGAAATGTCTACAAAATGGTTGAAGTACGCCGGTCTTCATGGAGAGACAGAGGGGTTCATGATGGCAATACAAGATCGAGTGATTCCGACACGAAACCATCAGAAATACATCCAAAAGCTAAATATACCAACAGACAAGTGCAGGATGTGTCATATGGAGTCCGAAACAATAGAACATATACTAAATGGGTGTAAAGTACTCACAAACACCGAGTACCTAAGCCGTCACAACCAAGTAGCCAAAATCATACATCAGGAATTGGCAATAAGATTCGGACTAATCAAAGAACCATTACCATACTATAGATACGAGCCACAAAGTGTAATGGAAAGCAACAGAGCCAAGCTCTACTGGGATAAAGAAATAAGAACAGATAAAACTGTGGCCCACAACCGCCCAGATATAGTACTAGTAGACAAACATCAAGATAAGGCGTACATAATAGACATAGCGGTCCCACTAACACACAAACTACAGGACACGCATAGTGAGAAACGCCGAAAATATACAGACTTGGCCTATGAGATCAATAAGATGTGGCGCATTAAGAAAGTTGAAATCATACCTATAATCCTGTCATCAATGGCCGTAATACCGAAAAATCTGGCCCTAAGTTTGGAATCACTGGAAATCAGAAAAACTAAGATCTATGAAATGCAAAAAGCAGTGATACTTCAGAGTTGTAGAACAGTAAGAAAAGTACTAGACTTGAGTTGAGTCTAACCAGTCGTGTCTCTGCCACCAAAAMTGGCCGACACAACAGTGATCACACCSGAACAACCSTGATATAAAAAAAAAAAAAAAAAAAAAAAAAAAAAAAAAAAAATAATAATAATAATAATAATAATAATAATAATAATAATAATAATAATAATAATAATAATAATAATAATAATAATAATAATAATAATAATAATAATAATAATAATAATAATAATAATAATAATAATAATAATAATAATAATAATAATAATAATAATAATAATAATAATAATAATAATAATAATAATAATAATAATAATAATAATAATAATAATAATAATAATAATAATAATAATAATAATAATAATAATAATAATAATAATAATAATAATAATAATAATAATAATAATAATAATAATAATAATAATAATAATAATAATAATAATAATAATAATAATAATAATAATAATAATAATAATAATAATAATAATAATAATAACTATTAGTATTGCTAAATTTATTAAAAATCAATTTATTTATTTATAAAATATTTTATATATATATATAATGTTATAAATATAGCCTTAAGATATTATCATAAGTTTTTACTAAAATAAAAATTTATAATACTATTGATAGTAAAAGTTTTTATTATTAATGTAAAAATAACAACACATATAAATTAAAAATCATTTATTATTATTATGTATATTATGTGTGTATATAATARTAATTATTATTTTTGAATACACAAACACATAAATTCAAGGCTAGAAACTATATTTTTTGCTAATTTTTTTTTTGAAATAATAATAATATGATATATAAAATTAAATTATAATTTAATTTAAATATATGTGTAGTTATTGTTTTATTTTGGCCCAAAAGTAATTATTAGTATTTATTATTATTAAATTATAATATATTTATATATATATATATATAATATATTAGTATTGTATGTTAATATTGAAAATTAAAATTTTTTATTTATATATAAATCAAACTTATAATTAATTTGAGTTTTAATATTATTATTTTTTTTAAAAAAATAAACCACAATTATTATGAGTTTTTAAAAATATTTTTGTAATTAAATTTTAAAACAATTTTTAATCAAAATAAAATATTTAATAATATTAAACCATAAATTACACACTTATTAAATATAAATATTTTTTAATAAAAACACTTTTATTAAGTTTTAAAAAATTATGAGATTTTAATTATTAGTATTAATATTTATTTAATTTTTTGTTTCAATAGATATGTAATAATTTGAAAAAATTATATAATCTTATAGTAAATGATAAAATAATTAATTAAACGATATTACTATCAAAAAAAGTACTGTATATATACTGTATATTACACACACACACACACACACACACACACACACACACACACAAAAAATATGTATTATTATTGGCCATCATTACGGGCATCGACCGTATACTCGGGTTGAATCTCTGGCTTATTATCACTACCCGAACCGCTGCCARTGGTTCCCGGTTTCCGCTCAACACTAGTGACCAGATTWCGGAGAGCATCGGTAATCTGTTGGATACTAGTCTGCAATTGTCTGAGATATTGTTTGGTCGACTCATCCTGGGATCGGTCAATACGGTCCCCGACATATCGGTTCAACCGATCCAACGATTCGACGGCTTTCCGCTGAAGTTTCTCAATGGATCGTTGCCATCGGTCCTGTAAATGGACTCGCATTTGTTGCCACCCGGAGCTGATCCGATCCCGTAGTGTACGAAATACTTGCATCGTGTCGTTGCCTAAGTTAAAGTTGATGGACGGTATCATTGGATGGAGATCTGGTAGACTACCTGAGCTGCCTAATTGATAATGATAGGTAGTATAGATGGTTAGTTATGTAGGGTTAGGCATAACATATAGTTTATAGTTTTTTTTAATGTAATTTTTGTTGTTTTGTATTATAGATTGTAGATTTTTTTTTTGTGGATATTTAGCATGGTAATTTTTTATGTTTATTTATTAATTGTTTTTTTATTAAAATTATTTTTAGTTTACTATTAAATATATTAATATATTTATATATACTATTAAATATATTAATAAATATATATATATACTATTAAATATATATATATATATATAATATTTCTATAAATTTTCAAAATAATAAATTAAATAATAAGTTATTTATAGAAAGTTATATAATATTAATAATAATATTGTTTTACAAATTTCTATGACTATGTGTGTGTGTGTGTGATATGATTATATAATTTTTGTTAATTTTTTTTAAATCATCTATTATTTTCCTATTAAATTACAAAATAATAATAATATATATATATATATATATATATATATATATAGAGAGAGAGAGAGAGAGAGAGAGAGAGAGAGAGAGAGAGATAGTCTCATTTTTTCACATAAAGTCAYATAAATTATATATAAATTTTTWAAAAATAWTAAATTAAATAATAAAGTTATTTATAGAAAGTTATATAATATTAATAATAATAATATTGTTTTACAAATTTCTATGACTATGTGTGTGTGTGTGTGTGATATGATTATATAATTTTTGTTAATTTTTTTAATCATCTATTATTTTCCTATTAAATTACATAATAATAATAATAATATTTATATATATATATATATATATTTATATACCTTTTGGTGATGTATTGATCGCTGGCACCAATTCAACATCATCTTCAAGCTCTTGGCCTTCAAATTAAAAAATTAAAAATATTTTTAATTTTTTATATATATTTTTTAATTAATTGACAACAAAACAAAACATAATTAATTAATTATAATTTATAAATTACATACCAATAGCTAGTGATACGATAAACACCAATGTAAACAACAATGATTTAATTATAAATAATTTATTCATATTTTCTTAAAAAAAAATATTTTAGATTTAAATTATGAATATTTAATTATTATTTAGATTTTTTAGTAATTATTATTATTAAGATTTATTTTTTAAGACAAACTTTTATTTTAAAATGAAAGATGACTTATATTTATATAAGTTTTATAATAGTTTTATATTTTCAAACAAAACATATGACAACTAAATAGTAGTTAATATTTTTTTTGAGATCACAAATAAAACGGGGAAATACTGTCTGTATTTATACTTTTATTATATATATTTAATAATATATATATATATATATATATAAATACTTATTATGAAACCGATAATGAATTTAAAAATACTAAATAATAATAACAAAAATAAATAAAATGTATGAATAATCAAGATTTCAATGTTATTTCAATATACAAGTAATAATAATAATCCGTATATTTAATGGTATTTTTGTTTTTATTAATATATATATATATATATATATTTGATTTTTGTATTAATAATAATAATAATATTACTATAAATATATGTTTGTATTTACTGTTGAAAAAGTAATTGAAAGCAAAAGTTGTCTGAAAACTAGTCGTTTGAAAACTCTCTCTCTCTCTCTCTCTCTCTCTCTCTCTCTCTCTCTCTCTCTCTCTCTCTCTCTCTCTCTCTCCAAGAATCGGATGTATTATTAKTATTATTGCCAATACTATCAAGTATTTCGTGCAATAGTTTAATCAAAAAAAAAATTATTGAAACCAAAAATAAAATGTATTACAAAAAAAAATAAATGATTCATAAAATTCTGGTTATTAATTRATTGATTGATTGATTTTATGGAGAGATTCCTATAGACTATAGGCTATACTGTCTATAGATTATTGAAATTTTTAAGCCCTAAAGGCATTTGAAAAACTGGTTCAATAAATAAACTTTAAATAAATAAATTTCACTATAAATTTATATATTTATATACTGTATATAAATTTGATTGATTGACTTTTATTATTATTATTATAGTAAATTGATCAAGCTTATTATTATTTTTTTTATTGGACTATTGGAGCATTAAATAAAATGTATTTTTTTATATAATATAAAATTATTATTACTATTATAATGATTACATTGACATTCAATTTAAACAAAATTTTTTTAGACATTAACCTTTTATATCTTTAAATTATATATTTATTGTTATCTTAAATAACTTATATATTAGGAAAATAGTTAATTGACTTTTATTTTTTTTTAAAAAAATATGTAATTTTTTAATTAATAAACTAATATTTTTTTGTTGATAGAAATAATTTAGTGATGATTCATAATAAATATCATTTATAAAAAAATTATATTTAATTAATTATAAATTCCTAAATAATATATTCATATTTATGATTAATTGTATTAATATTTTTTACGTAAATATGAAAATTTAATTAATTATTTTAAATACAGTTTTTCCCTATTTTTAGAAATTATTTTTAAAAAATTATTTTATGAATAAAATTAATTTAATGTTTAATAAAAATTAATTTGTATTCAAAACTACAAATAGTCTAAAAAATATATGTTTTACATGTAATTATAATTATGCGATAAAACATAAATTATATATTTTTAATAATATTATAATTATTTTATATATATATATATATATATATATAATATTACTATTATTTTTCATTATTATACATTTTATTACTAATACAAAAAAAATAAATTAATAATTTAACATTAAATTACAACAACAAAAAACAATTTTGTTTCAAACATTTAATATCATAATAATAATAATTATATGTTAATAATATTAGTATATATTTCTAACTAATAAAAAAACAAACTAAATGAAAACCACATTAAAAAAACCTGTTGGCCTTCAATTGAAAATTAAATATTTATATATAAAAAAATTTAATGATTATATCAGTTATATATCAAATATATAATGGTTTTAATGGCTATCGGATATAATAGTAATTAATTATTATTATTATAAACAAAACACGCAATGATTTAACTATTTGTTTGTTTAGTATTAAATTTTTTTGGTTGAATCATTTGATAGTATAAAATAATAATAATTATTAAAAAACATTTATTATGATAAATATTATTAGTTTTTTTTATGAAAAATAATAATAATTTTTATTTAAAAAAAATATCAGTTAAATAAACATATTTATAAATAAAAAACATATAATAAATTGTTTACTAATAAATAAGTTAATAATACAAATTGACTTTTAAAAAATCAGATATTTTATAAAACATTTAAAACCAATTTTTTTACTAAATAATTATTTTATATATAAATAGAAATGATTATTATTTTATTTTTTTAAAATACTTAAATATAATTCATTAATTGAAATGCTATTAAAAGATTATGATGATTTAAATTTAAAATTTAAATAATAATAATAATATTGAACATAAATAATACAAACAAACAAAAATTTGATTAATTCAAAGTAAATTTTGATAAATATAATTAATTTTATTTTATTAAAAAATTTGAAATAAAAAATCTCAGACAAAAATTGTTTTATTTTATTAAATATATAAAAATAATTTTTTTTTAAATAAAAAGATAGACTAAATATTTTAAAGTTTATTATTATAATATTTAAAATAATATATTTTTTACAATTAAATATACAAACAATAAACTATCATTTAGTATTTTTTATATTAAATTATTTTTTTTAATAATGTATGACTATTGGCATACAAATTAAATTTAAATTGAATTTAAATATTTCTGTATAAACTATAATAATAACTCAAATTAATAAACTTTAAAATATATTGCTTAAATTTATTTATTTTTAATAATAACAATTTAAATAAATCAGAAAAAAATGTTTAATTAAATTTCTAATAATATCTAATTGAAAAAATAATAATATTTATTTCAATAATGCTTTTATTTACTACAGTATTAAATAAATTTATTTTAATTAATTAATAATAACATTAATACAAATTTAATTAATCAACTTTTATATATATATATATATATAATAGATATCATTATAGCATAAAAATTATTATTATTATTATTATTATTATTATTATTAATATTATTAATATTATTTAAATTTAAATTTTTAACTAAAACTAAAAAAATATTTTAAAAAATACATTTTTAATACTATTATTACTATAAGTTATAGTCTATAACTACTATAACTACTAAATATAAAACTATTGCTTAATATTATTATTATTATTATTATTATAACTATTTGTTAGCAAACGTATTGACAATATGTTGGATAATATCCGTGAATTTAGCCGAAAATTTGCCGATAGTTTCCAACAACAAATCGCCGCTATTATCGGTTTTCCGCAAACGATTGACCAGATCGTTGACCGAGCGATCATAATGGCGACCAATTCGGCCAAAAAAATCGGCAAATACTGGCTTCAAGTTATCGGTAGTCAATTGTTGGTCGCCATCGGCGGCAATATCGGTGAATAGACTGACCAATAGTTGGCCAAGTTTTTCCCGATAAACAGGTTGATCGGTACGTTGTTTGCCGTCGGTTAACGGTCCAAATTATCTACGGATTTCGGCCGTAATTTTACCGAACAAATCGCTGGCATCGCCGAAATGTTTGGCCATTTCCGGGTCATTTGTAGCCAACTGTGACCGAAACCTGTCCATTGATTTGGCCAATTGGTCGACCAGTTTAGCTAAATCGTTGCCAAATAGAAACGGTATGTTATTATTATAGTTATCTACGGGTGCATCGGCTAAGTCCCGGAAAAATTGGTTCAACTCTGTGCTCAACTCCCGGAGCCGTGAACTAAATTTTTCGGCCAAATTTGTGTAACCGTTTGACTTGAATATAGCAATCAAATCAAAGTCATCGAAACCGGTTTCTCTGTAAACTTTTTTATCAAATTCAGCACGGCCTATTTAATTAAATATATTAATTAAATTTTATTTATAACAATAATTAGTTAATTTATAACAATTAACTATTTACAGTATTTTATAACAATAAGTATTTAATTTATAACAATAACTATTTACAGTATTTTATAACAATAACTATTTAATTTGTAACAATAATTAGTTAAATTATAACAATTTATTATTTAATTTATAATAATTAGTTAATTTACAACAATAACTATAACTATTTAATTTATAACAATAACTATTTAATTTGTAACAATAATTAGTTAAATTATAACAATTTATTATTTAATTTATAATAATTAGTTAATTTACAACAATAACTATAACTATTTAATTTATAACAATTAACTATTTAATTTATAATAATAATTAGTTAATTTATAATAAATAACTATTTAATTTATAACAAATAACTATTTAATTTATAATAAATAACTATTTAATTTATAACAAATAACTATTTAATTTATAATAAATAACTATTTAATTTATAATAATTAACTAATTAATTAATTTAATTACTTACTTAATATAATAATAATTTTAAAAAAAGTTTTCTATATATTTAAAAATTTTTTTAAAAAATAAATTAATTAATTAATTTAAAAAATAAAAAAATAATTACGATGTAGACAATCAATATCATCGATAATTGTACCAAGATAAACTATCAATATAACAGCAATAATAGTTAATAATTTTTTATTAGACATTATTGTTGTTGGTTATTAAAAAATAATTTTCAATTTTAATTAACAACAAAAAAATAACGGAAATTATAAAAATTTAAAAATAATTTTTAAAAATATATTTACTATATTTATTAAAAATATTTAATTTATTTTCTAAATTAAATAATTTGTATTGTGTTTAAACATAAGTGATCCTTATATACCCTTTAAAAAACATACACATATTTATACATAGTTTAATAATAATAATAATAATAATAATAATTAATGTAATAAAAAAAACTAATAAATGATATTTATTTCGTAACTATTATTAACAGTATATATCAAGCGCAGTGTTACCCCACCCCTCCTATAGACCCCTTTATTAGCATCTTAATCAATAT